TTATTAGCCATTTTTATATTTCCTAGGGGAAAATGTCTATTCACATCCTTTGCCCATTAAAAAAACTGGGTTGTCTTTTTATTGCTGAGTTGTAAGAGTTCTTTCTAGACTCTGGGTGGGAAATCCTTGTCAGATTTGATTTGCAAATATTTCCTCCCGTTCTATGAGATGTCCTTTTTTCCCCCCCACTCTTTTGATAGTGTCTTTTGAGGCACGAAAGCTTGGATTTTGATGAAGTCGAGTTTATCTGTTTTTTCGTTGGTTTCTGTGTTTTGGTGTGTCATCTGAGAAAGTATTGCCTAGTCCAGGGTCATAATAATTTGCTCCTGTTAATGTTTTCTTGTAAGAGTTTTTTAGTTTATTTTTTAAAAAATTATCTTTAAATGAAGGATAATTGCTTTAGAATGTTGTGTTGGTTTCTACCATACAGCAACATGAATTAGCCGTAAGAATACATGTATCCCCTCCCTCTTGAACCTCCCTCCCACCTCTGCCCATCCTGCCCCTTCTAGGTCTTTCTCTTCCTAAGTGTATGATCCGCTTTGAGTTAATCTTTGAACATGATGTTGGGTAATAGTCCAGCTTCATTCTTCTGCATGCGGGTATTCAGTTGTACTAGTAACATTGTCAAAAATCAGTTAACCATAAATGTAAGGCTTTTTCCCCCAGACTCTTAATTTGCCAGTGTTATGTGTGTATCAGTACCACATGTCTTGATTACTGTAGCTATGTAGTAACTTCTGAAACCAGGAAATGTGAATCTTCCAACTCTGTTCTTTTTCACGATTGTTTTAGTTATTCTGAGTCCTTTGTACTTCTTTGTGATTTTAAGATCAGCTCATCCATTTCTGCAGACAGGCCAATTGGGATTTTGATAAGGATTGCATTGAATCTGTATATCAATTTGAGGAGTATTTTCATCTAAATAATATTGTGTTCTTTTCTCTACATTCTTTTGTTTTTTTAGTTTGAGAACTATACTTCAGTTTAAAAAAGAAGCCATTGAATAAACGAATGGATAAAAAAATAAGTAACATGAGTTGTGCCCTCAAGTACCTTACAGTTTGGTAGAGTCATGTTGAGAACCTAGATAAGTAATATATTGGGTTAGAGAAAAAGTTCAGGTTTTTCTGTAATGTTTTGTGGAAAAATTTGAATGAACTTGTTGACCAACCCAGTGGTAGTAACAGTAATAATGATAAGAACTATTACTACTTATTACTACTAATAAAAGTATTGGGTTTTTGCTATGTGGTAGTCTCTGTGATAGCTTTCTTTACTATTATTTATCTCAATGCTCACAAAATTTTTTCACAAATGATTTTTTTAAACCATATAAAGAAAAGTGTGGTAATACTGTAAAGAAGGTGAAAAGATTTTATCAAGCAGAGCTTTGAATTGGACTTTGAAAAATGGGTAGGATTTTGATGAGAAAGAATGGGATTTTGGAAAAGCTGCCCCTTGAAGAATTACCTGGTTTCTGCAACTTCTTGAAGCACCAGAGGAATTTCATTGATGGTAGTACTGGTGCTTGAGGTATATGTTTATGCGAGATGACCCACTCATATTTTCAGGGTAAGAAAATGAAGGAAAAGGGAAAGTTGGAAGATAAAAGAAAAAATGGAGATAGTGATGAACCAAGGCCTCCGTAGTTGGGGACCTTAACCACCCAATGCTAGCATTAAATTAAGAACAAAAGAAGGATGGGGGGAATTGGGGAGAATTGCTCAAAGAAAGAAGAGGAAACTTTTATTTGATGGCTTTGATCTTCAGAGTAAATTTGAATGTAATGGTATTTTCTGAGTGAATTAAAGTTGGGGAATGAAGTTAGGAGCTAGAGAAGCATAAAAAAGGTTGGAGTAAATGTTGTGAGACATGTAATATGAATTAAAAACAAGTACAAATTTTCATGCAGTAATGTAGAGGACTGATTTCCATGAATTGATAATGGAACTCAATGGCCTTGTTTTATTTTCTTCAGTAATATGTGGTAACCTGAGAGAAAGAATGGAATAATTGAATGATGGAATTTACCCAGAGTTGGTATTTAACAAGCCAGTTGGTAAAAGAATAAGAATTAACCAGACAGTCTAAGATGTTACCAGTGCATTGTTGAAATAGTGAGTCACAAAGCATGGGAAGAAAATAGCAAAGAAATCTGAAAAACTTTTAAGAGATTAATACTGACCATGAACCAGAGTAGTGTGGTAGTGAGATTTAAGACTTAAGAAATTTAAGACAATGGGATAAGTGTGTGTGCACAGGAGTGTGGGAGGTTCCCAACTGAGATCTTGTCATCATTTAGAACGCTTTTGTAAAGAATTATTTGTGTATCTGAATCTTGTAGGTAGAGTGGAAATAAATGCCTTTGTAGATAAAAGGTTTAGAGAACTTTAAGATAGGGGTGTTACAAGAGTAATCACAAAAAAAAAAGTAATCACCATCCACACTGAATGCAGCAAGGATAATGGGGTGAAATGAGCCAAACCAGATACAAAACAAGGCGGGGAAGGAAGTACCTTGGTAGATTGCATCTATGAGAATGGAGAGAGAAGTGGAATAAGTAAATGTTTTGTATTTAAGAAAGAGTTATTGTAATATATTTTTAAAAATTAAGGCTAATGTTTTGATACAGAGTTAACATTCTGAAAATTTGTTTACATTTATTACTTTTCCTGAGCTTAACTCTGTGTAGTAAATGTACCTGCTCAGATGATAATAAGATCATATGATCTATGCAAGGAGGAATTTTTGTCTCCTTAGGCTGTATGTATATAATCTTCAAAGGGTAGGGATTGTGTTGGTCTTTATTTTTGTGGTTTGAGCCCCAAATAGTTCCAGGCACATGTATGCTCAGTATATATTTATTGAATGATTAAGTATCAATAAGTGGATCATACTGAAAAAAGATATCCTTAAGTAATTAGCCCATGGAACTGAAAGCTAAATAGAAACATAGCTCAGTAGATTTTGGACTGATTTGGCTATAATGCCCTGAAATGCTGTGAAACGTTTTGGGGTCAACATTGGGCAACTATTGGATTGTAAAGGAGAGTGCTTTTTTATGTAGTTTAATTAAGCCCTTCAGTAACTCATTTTAGTATTTTCCCTCCCCCCTAAAAAAAGTTATATGGTGAGATCAGACATCAGGTGTGGTGGCCTATATTGAATTGAAATTTCTCCTTTATCCTCCTCTGAAAGTATTGGTCACTCAGTCATGTCTGACTATTTGTGACCCCATGGACTGTAGCCCACCAGGTTATTCTGTCCATGGAATCCTCCAGACAAGAATGCTGGTGTGGATTGCCATTTCCTTCTCCATTATTCTCCTCTTCCTGTGATAATTCTTCCTTGCTTATAGAATGAAGTTCAGGCTTCAAAGCATAGTATATACAATCTCTCCAAGCTGGTCCTTTACCCACTTTTCTTTTTTTCCCACTTTTCTAGTCTTAGGATTTGTGTTCCTATTCTTCACTTAAATTACACAAACATCTACTGATCCCTTGATATGTCCCAGGTATTGTATGACAGTCAGCCATACTAGTCCATAGTTTTCCTCTGTCTTAAAATTTCTAACCTCCTTACTCTGTTAAAAATGTCTCCTGTACTACACAGTACTCTCTTCTCCCCACTTAACTCTATCTATATAAATGCTAACGTTTTAAGCTGCCCCCCCTTCCTTACTCTTACCTTGTATCAAAAACATTCTTTCTCATATATAACACAATAAAAATGCGGCCATTTGCTTCTCTGCAGCCCAATAATAAACTCTCTAGGTAATGGGAAATGCCACTGTTAAAATTTTGTGGCCTTTTATAAATGTGTGTGGTGTCGTATCTATTTGGGGTGGTAGGGAGACATGGTGGTGGATTATGGTGTAGAGGGGAGAAGGTGATTACCACTGCAGTAAAGAACCATGGGCATATACATTCGAATCCATTCTCTCTCTTAAATTTTCAATTATCATTCTATTTTCAAGATTCTTCCTGCTTTTAGAAAATGATATCTTATATGATCATGTGACCTTTCAGCTTTAATAAAATGACACTTTACCCTGATGGGTAATGGTCTCAAAACTTCTTGACTACAGGATGTAAACCACCTTTTCAAATAAAATTCTATTCTCTAAGCAGTGTTTGATGGGAAAGGGGAGGTCATAAGGTATCCATAGTGCGAAAAAGAAGATATTTTTAACTAGTAACTGTTTCAGAAAAAAGGTCACAGTTATGCATCCTCTAATCCCTATTGAGGAGACTTTGGTGGTTATGGTGAGACCTGGCACTGTGTACCTTTGCCTGCCTGCCAAATCGCTTTAGTCGTGTCCAACTCTTTGCAAACCCATGGAGTGTAGCCCATCCGGCTCCTTTGTCCATGGGATTCTCCAGGCAAGAATATTAGAGTTGGTTGCCATGCCCTCCTCCAGGGGATCTTCCTGACCCAGGGATTGAACCCACATTTCATGTCTCCTGCATTGGCAGGTAGGTTCTTTACCACTAGCACCACCTGGACTGTGTACCTTAGGCTTGTCTTTTTGACAGATCTCTTTTAACACCTCATCTCCTTTTCAACCTCTCTCAGTTGTTTAGAGAGAGACCGAGAGAGATGTGAAACCTTATATACCTATAACTTATCTAGAAAAAAATGCTTTGATGTGGTAGTTTATCTTATGTTAGATGTGTAGTTTGGAAGATAAATTGTGATTTGGCCAGAAAATAGCTAACACTAGTTTTTTTTAATTAATATTCATGGCTGTTATGGACATCATACATGTATGTGTGTGTGTCAGTTTCTAAATGTAGTGTCTTATAACAAAAGATTTATCAGTTTAAAGATAAAGGTACTAATTTACAATATTTCCAGTACTTATTTTGTAATTTGTAACACAAAATCCTTTTAGCTAGATTATAAAGAGATTATAATCAAAAACTAAAATTTCATATTTCCTTTTGTTACTGTCAGGAAAAAGTCCAGATTCAATGTAAGTCTACTTTATTTTATAGGCCTATGAAGAATACACCAGCAAGCTAGATGCCCTCCAACAAAGAGAACAACAGTTATTGGAATCCCTGGGGAATGGAACTGATTTTTCTGTTTCTAGCTCTGCATCAACGGACACCGTTACATCTTCTTCCTCTTCTAGCCTTTCAGTGCTGCCTTCATCTCTTTCAGTTTTTCAAAATCCCACAGATGTGTCACGGAGCAACCCCAAGTCACCACAAAAACCTATCGTTAGAGTCTTCCTGCCCAATAAACAGAGGACAGTGGTGAGTCAGCTTTTAATTCATCGTGGCTTTTTCTTCGTATTTTTCAGAAAGACTAGTTGTGGAAAATGAAATGTGATACCCAGTGGTCATGCAAATGGAAGCATCCATTTAAACAAGAATGGAAAAGACATAGTTATTTGGTGCCAAAGTTTGTGTTCCTTAAGTGGAACAAATTGCATTGTCTTTAGTGTCACATGTATACCTGTCTACTAAGCTTGAACCACACTCACGTCTGAGTACTAGTTTAGAATCAGTCAGAATTTTGAGACTTAAGCTTGTTTGTCGTCTAACATATGTCAGGTAAGATTTGTTCTTTGCCATAGAGAAATCCCTATTTAGATTTATTATCAAATGTTGGATTCTTAGTGTGCTTGACATTTTTCCTCTTGTTTACATAAGTTTTGATTGTTGATCATTATATCATCATTGGAACATAGTACTCTGTAAATAACCTTTAAAGCAGGGAAATCTGCAGAATAATTATAGATGGTCTGTAATCTCAAGTGCAACAAGTACTGCCAGTGGACATAACTGAATGGAAAAATGCACCTCCCTGCATCACTCATTTTTTATAATGTATATGGTTATTTTGATATTAATTAAAAAAACCATTTCATCGCCAAATACAATTGAAGCCAAAGTAATCTTTTAATTTTTCCCCTCAGATAGCATTAGTATTGCTTCACAGAAAAAGTTTGCTGATTTACTTATGCTGTAGTGTCCTCTAGTGGGGTCAACTTGTTACCCGGTGAAACAAAGGCTTGTGAATGTCATTATGTGGAGATACAAGACTAGGCCTTCGGCCTGTGTCACAAAGGTAGTTGAAACTTATATCCTCATGTAATCTGAACCTTTGAAAAGCTTTACCTTCAATAAAAGGGTGAATTAGAAGAAAATCTACTCACCAGCATACATAAATAACAGTGAAACTTTTCTGTCTTTGCCAGGGCCAGATAAAGTTTAAAGTTTCCCTTGTGAATTCTTAACTACAAATCTGTTCTTACCATAGCGTGGGGTTCATCATTATGTTACATGCCTTATTCAGGAATTCTCAACCCAAGAAGAAATTAAAAACAGGTTCTGGAATAGTAATAGCACTCAGGCACTGGGCAGAAACAGATGTAAATCCCTCCCTTAGCCCATATAGGTCTTATGGAATTCATATATGTAATACTTCAGTGACAAGGTCAAAATTCCAATTTATAGTTTGCAGGGAGAAATAGTCTGTCATCAGTGAGTTAGAAGACTTAATAGCAGCAAGATTAGATTCCTAAGAAGGAACCAAATAGAATTTCTAGGTGGCCTTAAAATTTAAAATTCAGTGGATGACACTTATCATCTCTGAAGTATTATTGCTAAAAATAATTGTGTCGAATGTTAAGCTTCTGGTCCTTCTACTTTATAAGAAGGGCAAGGAATAAAGGGAAAACTTAAGCACTATGAGAAGCAGACACATTCGAAAGGTGAACATTCCATAAGACAGCCTGGACTCTCAATTTATGGAGAATAAAACATTGGAGATTATTCTACACTAAATAGAACAACGAGACAAAACAACCAAATGCATTCTGTAATCCTGGTTTGGGACTAGGGTGAGAAAGAACTGTAGAAGTCCTTCTTGACAGGGGATATATCAAATGTTGGTTGAATGTAGTATGTTTTTATGGAATTATTAGTTTTTTTAAGTGTGATAATAGAGATATTATTATGTAGGAGAATATCTTTATTCTTAGGAAATATATGCTTAAATAATTAGGGGTAAATTGTTACGATGCCTGCAACCTCTATCACCTCTTTTTTAAAAATAAAACTTATATATAGTAAAGCGTACAAATCTCAAGTGTACAACTCAGTGACCTTCTACATGTGTAACTGCCATGCAGATAAAGATTATAGAACATTTCTGATGTTGAGAGTATACTCTTGTGCTCCCTCAGTTGAGTACCCACCTTTAAGAGTAACCACTATACTGAATTCTGTCTCAATCAATAAATTTAGAACTTATTTTCAAATGATATAATGGAAAACAAAAGGTTAAAGAGAGAAAATAAATATGGAGAAGTAATTTTTAGAATCTTGGAAAATTGGATGTTAATTGTGCCATTCCTTCTAATTTTCTGTGTTTGTAATTTTTCTAGTGAATTTGGGAAAATTCAAAGAACATGGAACAAAAGAAAAGTAGAAAGTTAAAAAGAAACAGTTGTCCCTACAAAAAAAAATTAGTGAACATATTGATACTGATTTGAGGAAGTAGCAAAGTAACACTTTTGCTAAAATTTCAATATATCAAGCCTGTTACAGCATATTACAGACCAAGTGTTAAAATGCTTTATAGAAATAAAAATATTTATTTTTAAAAATAAATGGATTAAGAGTAGATTGAATTTAGCTGGAGGAGGAGAATTGGTGACCTCTAGAAAACAGAGAAAGAGAGTTATAGAAAATATGAGAGGTTACTATGTATGAAGGATGGACTTAATAGTTTCATCATATGCCTCAAAGCAGAAAATGAGAACAGAGCAAAGGAATGGGGCTTCCTGGTGTCTTGGTGATAAAGAATCTACCTGCCAATGTAGGAGACATGAGTTTGATCCTTGTTTCAGGAAGATCCCAAATGCTGCAGAAAACTAAGCCTGTACACTGCAACTATTGGACCTGTCCTCTAGAGCCCAGGAACCCCAACTGCTGAAGCTGGAGCCCATGCTCCACAGCTAGAGAAGCCACCGCAATGAGAAGCCTGCCCACTGCAAGTAAAGAGTAGCCCTGCTCACCACTAGAGAAAAGCCTGTGCAGCAGCAGCCATAAATAAATAAATAGATACTTTTTTAAAAAAGAAAAAGAATAGAACAAAATTCAAAAAAATGACGGCTAACCTTCATTAAAGACACAAATGAAGGATTTGAGACACATAAGCTTTAAGTCTTTTAAATAAATTGAAATTCATTCTTAGTAGATGTAACAAAATGAAAGAATATTGTTTTAAAAGCACTTAGGAAAAATTACCTATAAAGAAATTCCAGTTAGATTATCAAAAAATTTCCTTATAGCAGCTGTAGAAGCCAGAAGACAGTAGAATAATATACTCAAAAAGTGCTGATTGATGCTGTAAGTTGCTTAGCTAAAGTATGAGTTTAACTTATCTGGTACACTATGAGTCAGGGCACAGTAAAGCCTTTCCAGATGAGGAATTTACTTTTCCCAAGCTCTACCCAAAGGGACTACCTTGGAAATAACTTAGGGAGAAGACTGAAGACAGAGGAAGGAATGAAAAGTAAGAATTAAATGTAAAGCTAGTTTGTACAAGAAAACACAGAGGAAAATATTTTGTGACCTGGAATTTGGCAACAATTTCTAAAATATGACACCAAAACACAGTCCCTAATGAACATACTGATAAGTTGTACTCTATCAAAATTAAAAACTTCTCTTCTCCTAAAGACTTTATAAGAGAATAAAGAGACAAACCACAGACTAGTAGATAATCTTTGCAAAATATATATATCTGATCAAAGACATGTATTCAGAATATATAAAGAACTCTTAGAACTCAGCAGTAAGGAAACAATTAAATGGACAAAAGATTTGAATAGATACTTCAGAGAAGATATGTGGATGGCAAATAAACACATAAGAAGATGTTCAACATCATGGATCATTAGGAAAAAGCTGATTAAAGGCACAAGATACCACCATACACCTATTAGAATGACTAAAATGAAAGAGTGGTCTTACCAACTATTGGTGAGGATGTGGAATGGAATAACTGAATTTTCATACACTGGTGATAGGAATGTATAGTGATGGTATAACCACTTTTGAAAGCAATTTGAAGATTAACTTAATGTTTTAAAGTCTTTTAGTTTTAAAGTCTTTTAGCTTTAAAGTCTCAGTAGCTTTTTTTTTTTTTTTTTTTTTTTTTTTTTTTTTTGGCAAAAATAGAAAAATCCACCCTGAAATTCATATGGCATCTCAAGGAATCCCGAATACTCAAACAACTTTGAAAAAGAACAAAATTGGAGGTCTCATACTTCCTTATACTAAAACTTATAAATTAATAAGTAAATCGTTTTGGTACTGATATAGGCAGATAGATCAGTGAAATAAATGGAGTACTTTTAAATTATTTCTTTTTGATTATAGCCTTCCTGTTCAGTATGAAGGGGAACTTCGTTGTGATTTTGATATACTTTTCTCTATTGGCTGATGATATCAAGTGGCTTTTCTATATCTTTGCTGGAGAAAGTATTTACTTTTATAAATAGTTTTACATGGCATATGCAAAACTGGGCATTACCCAAATGGTTAAATAAGTTTGGTATAGCTGTCAAATGGAATACTACTTAATAGAAAGAATGTATTACTAGTACACACAACAGCATAGATGACTCTGAAAGTAATTATGTTAAGTGAAAATAGCCAGACAAAAATGACTATATACTAAAAAAAAAATAAAAAATAAAAAAATGACTATATACTTTATAATTCTGTTATAAAAGTCTAGAGGAAATTCCCTGGTGATTCAGTGGTTATGACTTGGCACATCCACTGTCATGGCCCCAGGGTTCAGTCCCTGGTCAGGGAACTAAGATCCCACAAGGCTTGTGAAGTGGCCAGAAATAGATATGTAAGTAGATAAAGCAATTACAGGAGATTTGAACAGCATAGTTGTCAATTTTATTTTATAAATATGTAAACCTTGTACTAATCAATGAAAGAACATATGTTCTTTTCAAGAATGTATGGGACACTGAAAAACTTCTTTTACTGCATTTTTAGGCAAAAAAGGGAATCTTCACAAACACAAGTATGTTTTTCGAGCATAATGCAATTGAAGCAGAAATTAGTAACAATAATGGGAAACCACATTTTTAGAGATTTGAAGACACTTCCAAATGTCATATGTCAGAGAAAAAAATATGAAAAAAATCCTAGTCCTATGTAAATTTTATTCTTCTGTAAAAAAGCAAAAGAGAACATTTCCTAACTCATTTGTAGAATTT